GAATAGCTTATAATGCTATAATGAATAGAAGCCAAATAATAGCAAAATAAATACAGGGTACATTTGTAAAAACACTTTTGAAACGTTTATTGAGGGAAAAATAAATACACACTTGAACACATTGAAAAATAAATAAACACCAAATCTCGATGGAGGTGACGACGATTACATGCCAGGTTAGTTTTACAAAAAAAAATGAACCATCGATGTGAGAAGTTATAAATGGAATAGTTTTGAGAACGATTGAGAATGTAAAACAACTACTTTCAATCCATGCATCTCTTAACGAGTACTTTCGTTCTATATACTTTCGGTCCATAGATCAACAACTGAGATTTACTAGTGCTAATGTTATGGTTTTGTGCATATGCCATATGTCTATTTATAGAGCCCAATTCACAGACATGTGAATGAATTTTACCCATATCATGATTTGACAAAAGGGACTTACACATCTCTCTCTTTGGCATGATAGGGGTGTCTTCATAATAGTTGTCGTGTTATACACCTAACACCACTATTTTTAACTTTACCCATGTGATGATAAGATGAGAAAGTGGATTGGTTTTGTGTATCTACAAGAGCTGATTTTTTCAGTGAGAGTCATATTCTGTGACTACCCATGTGATTGAAAAAAAAGCCAAATAATTTGAAGTGGCCTTACACCATGGCAGATAAAGATGAATGGTCACATCATCAAGAAAAAGCCTTAGTGTCTGAAAAAGTTATAAATAGTGGCATTGTTGTCATGAGGCAGAGTATTGACATCCGTATTTGTAATTACAATTTACTAATCTAAAGTTTTTATTTTAACAAAACTATTATAATGTTAATTTATTTTTTAAATAGATTTCTAAGTGCACTTTGATTATGTAGTATCTTTATTTTTTCTCATATTTGATCAAAGCTATTAAAAAATCTATATGTCAGATGTTGCAGGAATGAGAGCATTTCCATTGCAAAGAAGATGCATAAGGATCCAATTGAAGTTATTCAAGCCATTACTAATGATCCAGACTTATAAGTTGCTTCAGAGTTGTCAGATTATTCAGATACAGGGGATGATGACTTTGTAATTCCACCTCCCCGTTATTGCTAAAAAAAACTTAGTAGTTGAGTTAAATTTTATGCAGTATGTATATGAAATGTATGTATTTTTGATTTATTTTATGCAGTATTTTGTATGAATTCCACCTCCCCGTTATTGCTCAAAAAAACTCAGTCCTTGAGATTTACTAGTGCTAATGTTATGGCATTGTGCATATGCCATATGTCTATTTACAAAGCCCAATTCACAGACATGTGAATGAGTTTTACCCATGTGATGATTTGACAAAAGGGACTTACACCTCTCTCTCTTTGGCAGGAAGTGGGGTGTTTTGCATAATAGTTCATGCACCTAGCACCACTATTTTTAACTTTAGCCATGTGATGATAAGATATGAAAGTGGGTTGCTTTTGTTTATCTACAAGAGCTGATTTATTCAGTAAGAGTCCCATTCTGTGTCTAGCCATGTGATTGAACAAAAAGCCAAATAATGTAAAACAGCCTTACACCATGGCAGATAAAGAGGTATGGTCACATCATCAAGAAAAAGCCTTAGTGTTTGAAAAAGTTATAAATAGTGCCATTGTTGTCATGAGGCAGACTATTGACATCCCTATTTGTAATTACAATTTACTAATCTAATGTCTTTATTTTAACAAAACTATTATAATGTTAATTTAATTTTTAAATAGATTTCCTCCTATAAATTATTTATATCATTTGGATAATCTTTAAATTATTTCATCCATCACTTTTTCAAGTTGTGCATGAATGGTGTCTGCCTATCACTACAACAAAAAATTCATTGTACATTAAAAAAATTCATCATTTACTAAAGTTCCAAAACAATTCACCATTCATCAATGTTCCAAAACAGGAACAAAATCTTCTAGCACTGCTATTTACCAAATTTATAAACCTTCTACCACTTGAGTTTCAGTCTGCACTTGTCAAAAAATCACCTCATTGTCCATGGTACAAAATCCAAGCAAGTAGCTGCATCACACAAGTCTCAAATTCAGTATGCTAATCAGAAAAAGGAACGAATAAGATTGTCATTTATGAATCAAATAGATATCATCATCATTGACAAACAAAATGTAGCGAAGAAACTACTACCAAAACGTACAAACAAAATAACATACATAAATAAACAAAACCAAGATAAGAGAGCCTAGTGCTAATTTGGGCAGTAGGCAACTTAATTCCGCCTACTCCTGATAAACAATACTGCTTTCCCATACAATTAATTTGGGTAATGGAGGTCTAAATCCCTGTGACCCGCCTAATTTAATTCCAAAGGTTTTGTATTTTCATGTAAATTTTGGTATACACCCAGAAAGACCAATTAATTATATTGGATTCTCAAGTACAAGTATAATTTAACTTGATTATCAGTGAACAAGATATGTAAGTAGTAATAGACTAAATAGTAAAGGGAACCAAGATCCAGTATAGGATATTTTCAGCAAGGGGTAAGAAAACAGGATCATAAAAGAACTGAACAAAGAAACTGCAACTATATTTCAAGATTAACCAGTTAAACATCACCTTTTGAGTCTTTAATTTCTTTAATAACCCTACTTCGGGATCACTCCTACACCAACACAGTTATTTATTTATTTATTTTTTTAGTATTTTCTTCAGCAGTATCCTAAAGCCATCATCCATACCAAGACAGTTTTTGGTTTCTTTTAATTTTCTAATACAGTTTTCTAATACAGTGTGTGATTGTTCCAATCAAGAGAACCAACCCTTGAACTATGCCCGTCTTGCAAAGTCCTCAGCTGTTCAGAAAAACCAAGAAAATTAGAGTACAGGATGGAGAGGTGGCACCAGAAAAATCAAATCTAATGCCTAGATCATGAGAAATGTGACAATTTGCAATAAATACATTTCATTTCACTCCAAATAAAGAATATAATACTCTTAGTTCTAATATTTGTTTTCTAAAATATAGGCCAACTATACAAGCCATAATCCTTCATAGTAGTTCACTTTATGCATTATATCAGTATAATAAAATCTTCAATGATACATGCCTCATTCAACCTTGCACTTCACCACTAAACTGGACTTTGTTCTCTTCCAAACTAAATAAAAGGTAAAAGAAACTACCAACTTTATCAGAACTTAAATGGGATATAAAAATGCATCTTGTGTTGCATTTAAACCCATGTTTTTCTTTAAGTTTTTCTTTTTCCACACAAAATGCAGTTAGAGAAACTGACAGAAGCCCAATTTCTTCTTAGCACCTACATATCATGGAAAACATGAGTTCATGAAATATCAAAGAGCAGAGTTCCTGGTTTGTAGTTATTCAGTTGAACGTTTCGTTCCTCCAACCACTCGGGGTGTGAGTGCCTCTATTCTTTATTTTTAGGAATTTTCGTCTCTGATTTAAATTTTCTTTCAGCGAGAATGTGTTTTGAATCTTATTGTTTATCATCTCATTTTTTGTAATAAAATTTTTCTTTATTGACCAGGGTTTCTTACAACTAGTCAAAAATGCTTGTCATCTTTTTTTAACAGAACAACATTAAAAAAGAATGCCAACTTTTCACCATGCCTCATCTAATTACTTACAATAATCTGTTCAAAGAAACAAAAGCATAAATGATCAATAAAATAGAAAAAACGAAAGCATAATTAAAAGAAAACTCTTACCATCCGACAAGATGAAGGGTCCAACAGCAAGATGTACTCCATCCGGCGCCCATCTAACACTTGTCACATACCCAATTTCCTCATCAATCACAACAAGTGCAGAAGTAGCGCCATTAGCAGCATTCCACAAATATACTGAATTCCCAAGAGCGATAACGACAATGTTACTGCTACTCCAATCCAGTAAATTCAAATAAAACTCATCTAGGAGCTCAGAAACAACAAGAATCCTTTCTGGAGACTGTTAAATTACCAAACAAACACATGTCAACAAGAAAGCAATCAATCCAAAACACAAATCAGAATGAGAGCTTAGCAACAAGAAGAAGAAAAAGGAAAGAAAGAAAACCCACTTGGGGAATCTATCTCCTAGACTTGTTCTTAAAAGCAAGGATCCTCTTCCTGTAAGCTTCTTTGGCTGGAGAGCATGGTGTTGGGCTTTCCTTTCTTACCATCCCACCGTTGAGCATGTAATGTGCAAAATCAAAATCCATTGCAAATCAGTTGGGAATAAACCTATCCAGCTGCCATCCCAAAAGAACAAGATTAGTGTGAATTTCCAATAAAACCTATATATATATATATATATAAAGGCAAAATGACAGGAAAAAATCAGCCATAGAGTTTAAAACCCAGGAGCAAGATTAGTGTGAAGCCTATTGCGATGACAAAAGAAGGCAGGCAAAGATATTAAAAAAAAAATTAAATAAATAAAGAGAGTATATTTTGAAATGTAATATTTTCTTTATATGGAACACAAAAACAAAACCTGAAACTATCGTTACTGTCTTCTACAACTATTTTGGTTCTTTTCGAGTAAAAATTCTTTGTAATCCAAGACAATAGGACATATGATAATATTACATTATTATCTCTTTTCCTCACTTAGAAACCTAACAACTGGAGAAATGAAAATGCTTACCGGTTCACCTTATAGCCTGTTGGCTTATGGTTTGAATTATAAACCCACTGGTCAAGGTTCGAGACTGGTATATATAGAAAGGAAGCTATATGAGAAGTCACAGATGTTAGATTGTGAATCTTTTGGTCATTCAACCCAATCTTGCTCTTCTAAGCCCACTACTAAGCATACACAAAAATGGAGAATGAAGGAGGACGGCTAGACCTAATTCGAATTAGTGGGAGGAAGTTATAAGGGGAAAAGGGAGAAGTGTTGTGGATCCCCCCAATGAGGAATTGTGAAAGGAAAGCCCTAAAATGGCTATACCTATTGCTTCATTATCAAATATATTTGAATTCACTTCTTCTTTTGATGTGTCTTTGATCACAATCTCATTGCACCTCTCTCAAGAGATTATGGGACCTATTGATTATTTAAACTTTATTGGGTCTATTTCTCTGAATAAAGAAAGAACTACGTAAATCCAAATTTATACAAATAGAAACAAAAACATATTGAGTGTGTTTTCCCTGAATCTTCATGTTGAATCCCATGGAAATCCAAACCAAGAAACCTACAGGACTATGACTTAAAAAATTATCTAATGATGTCAAAAATTCTAGTCGTGCAGAATCTATACAAGTTGAACAAATAAACCCTAAATTCCTGAAAACTCATATTCGTAGACAATAAACCATCCAAATATGCTAAAGAAACCCTTACGTGAAAAAAAATCAAAATCCAAGAAATTAATGGGAACATCAACCACAAAAATCTAAAGATATTGCAAACAACACTAGATATCGTCTAAAAAAAAGAAACATTCAAATAGTAGACGAAGAAACCGTAGTTCACAGTAAATCCAAAAGTCTAACAAATTCACGAAGACAAACAAAAGAAAGAAAATCAAAAGGAATTCGATAGAAAAGCTAAAAGAATTTAAACTTTTCTCGTTTTCTTGAATTCATTGCAACGAAACAGAAAGCCGAAAATATCAATTGGTTGGCGAACATACATAAACACACACAAGCAGATGGAAACACATACTTTTTCGCACAAATTTTGCCTTCGAAGTTTCTGATCGGAGAGAGGGAATCGCGACATTTTTGTGTCCAATTCCTGAATCCAAAATTGATGTTTTAGGAACAGCATATATATATATATATATATATATATATATATATAGGGATCAAAATTGTATAAAAACAGAGTAGAAATCCTAGCAAAACGATGAACAAGACTAGAGAGAGAGAGAGAGAGAGCAAGAGAGCGTTGATGAATGAGTTGGGTTTAAGAGAAAATTAGCAAAACCTCCACATATCAACATGTACGAAGAACGTGAGAACTTGCATTAACTCATTAAACAACATATCAACAACTTCTCCTCCACAACAATCAATCAAAACCTCCACATACGATGATCCCATACTCCCATGCTTTCAACATTTTAAAACAAGAAAAAAAAAAAAAATGGCCTCCACATGGGCCGATGTAGCAATAAGGTAATAAAGTTCAAGATACACCATAAAATTGGTCACTTAAAGGCATGTGACCCCCCCAAGTATGAGTATAAAAAGCATTACAAATGTGCAATCATAAAAGATTTTTATCGAATATAAAGACCATATAACTTACAAATTTGATGTACTTGATAGCCATGCAATCGACGCTCCCGTTGTTATCTCTTCCCAGCCCCTAGCGGGAAGACTACATTTGAAGTACATGCAAATCAATTAAACAAAATATAACACCAAAATATTGTACAAGTGGAGATGGTTAAATGAAAAAACTCAAAAATAAGGGACATATGAGTAGACAACTTTTTTATTAGGCGCTGGTAACCAAAAGCAAGACTTTAAACAAAATAAATAAATAAATGGGGTAACAGTAGTCAACTAAGATTATAGCAAAATCCTTTTTATTATTGTTTCTTTATTTTTTTATTCTATCAAACATGATTGGACTATTTAGACCACAAAAAATCAGAAGGAAGCCCAAAAATCTATTTGAAACAATTTTTCCCAGAAATACATACTTCCCTTTGAAAAATCAATAAAAAAGAAATTCTCAAACATTTTGCATGAAACCAAGTCCATTGGAAGCTTAAACACATTTCTTCTATCAATTTAAATCAATAAATTTTCTTACCGATTAAATAAGGTTTGAAGGAAAAGATAGGAAAAATTCTGCTTACAAAACAAGGATCATAGCATGTTAAGATTAACTTCAAAAATCCATACTAATTTCAAAATCCAATCAATTTGAGCCAAAACAAAAACCTGTAAACTCATTAATAATAGCTGATATCACATAATTTGAAGTGATTATTGTCAATTATGCTCGTGAGTTTGAAACGTATTCGTTCACGTGATCTTTTGGACATTTAATAGAGAAACAAACAAGTCTTTTTCTTTGTCATTGTATAAAAAAGAACAAGTGATAAATACCAAAAAGTGCCATACATACCTCATCGGTTCGCAACACAACAAATTGGTCTCTGCTGGTTATATGTGACAACACCTCACTTCAGGGACGGATATAAGTCCAAAATCCTTAATAAAGTAGTCCCCAAAGGCTCTAGACATTGCCAATCTGGGGCATTCCTCATTCGGCAGCCAAATTTTATGCACCACAGGCTTGTCCTTTAAACTGAACACTCTTCCTTTGTACTGATTTATCCATTTAGCCTCATCTGTCAAACAATGTTGATAATGTAAACACAATGTTCATATAATTTTTGAGACACAAAGAAAGTGAGGAAGAGAGAGACTCACGAGGTAAATTGTGGTTGAAATAACAGTCATAATGCAGTACGGGAGCTCCAAGGAATTAATAGTGAGGAAACAAGTCATAATGACTTTAATATGATGTTATTTTCCTAGCCTTCCGTAAGCATGTAACATGTAAGCCCGTCCATTGTCACATAATCCCATAACCTCCTTGCTTTCACGACCCTCCAGCTGCCAGAAAACTCACACACCTATGATTTTTAAATAACACTCCACATGAGACTCATACGAGGACCCAGGAAAATAATTTCAATACCAAAATAAACCACCAGACGAATAATACAGATTCAACTTAGAATAAGTTACATCATACTTAGAAATGTTTTCTAAATAAGTTAGAAATACTATCACAACATAGTTATACTATGCAGTAGGGGAGCTCCAAGGAATTAATAGTAATTACAAAATAATTCCATATTTAAGGCCTTAACACCTTACAAAATAACTCCACTAGAATTAGCAATTATATAACTATTCTATCCAGGTATAGGAGCCTTGCACTTTCGACGATTATGACCATTCTCGCCGCATCGCGAACAGTGTAACGACCTTACATTTTGAAATTGTGATTCGATTCGTTTAATACGAGGTCGTCCAAGGGGACGTGTTACCGCAGGAGGCCTAAGATGGGAAACACCTTCACCGTTAGCAGCAGCAACAGCAGCTGCATTCGGCATATCATGCATGGGGACAGAAGACATGAGATGTTCACATAGTTTTTGTTGTGTTTCAACCCTAAACCATGGATCAACCATCTCATAAATATTTAAAGATAATTCATGGATGGCATAGCATGCATGTGAACAAGGAATCCCACTCATGGTCCACTTCAAACAACTACAAGAATTTTCACTGCCAAATACCACCCTGAATGGTTTTCTGTCTCGATCATATATTGTACACTCAGTAGGCGAAACACGCATCGACTGAAAACCAAGAGCTAACTCTTGCTCTCTTTTTTTTTTCTCCTCAATACGATCCCCAACCGGGATAGTCCACTTCTGAACGTCCAAACTCTTTTGGTATAAAAATTTGCTGAGTCTTTGCATGTGTGTATCCATCAACCTTGTGATTGAAAAAACCCTCTCTTCTTTCACCCATGCATTGAAGGACTCTGCTTGATTGGTGTATAATTTATCCCAACGCTTGGAAGTAAACATAGCATTTGACCAATGTTCAGGTGAATTCGCCAAAACCCAATCGCATAACTCCCCTCGAAATACCCGCATGGCAGCCAATGCATTCTTATACTCATCTACAGTTCGAGCATATGCAATTTTATCGAGTAATTTTTTCGCATGCTCTTTACCCGAAGCCCTCAATCCTAAACTTTGTCTCCCAAGAATGGATGTAGAAAAATTCGCCGTTAGGTGACGAAGACACCATGAGTGGTACTGGGAGCCAAAAATATCTCTAATACAACTTATTAGGCTCGGATGCCTGTCGGTTAAGATTGTCACAATGCGACCATCTAGAATCTCTTTCACCTTGCTCAAGAACCAATGCCAATCATCATCATTCTCAGAAGAAACAACAGCATACGCCAAAGGCCACAAGCCATCATTCGCATCGAACCCCGTTGCACCAAGCATTGTTCCTTTATAATTGCCACTCAAGTGGCAAGCATCGATTGCTAACATGGGCCTGCAATAGTTGATGAAACCTCGTATGGAGCACCCATAAGCTACAAACACTCGCTTAAATCTCCTATCATCCGTGCACTCCCACGATGTAATTGTCCCAGGAATATATTCTGCTATTCGTTCACACAACCACGGGACTAAAATATAGCTATCCTTGGGATTTCCCTCAATGATATGACGTGCACACTCCTTAGCTCTCCACGATTGCATGTAAGTCATTTTAGCAGAAAATTCACCGTTTATGTCTGTGGAAATAGTCTTGGGGGTGCATTTAGGATTGTCCCTAACCTTGTTCACAATAGCTCGACCCATTTCCTTCGACCAAAAAATGGCTTTATAATCTGAAATGTCTTGAGCAGTGTGAGTGTGAACATTATTAAACCGCTTGATTCTCACTATATCACCACTTCCTTCACAACCAGCTGATAATTTCCATGGACAATTATTAACCTCGCACACAACTCTATAATATTTTCTGCTATTGTCCAAGTACTTGAACCGAAAATGATTACGAAGACCAAACAAAACGAGTGCATCTTTGAAATCATTTGGGCTGTCAAAAAGCTGATCCACGCAAAGAATGTCATCAATGTGTCGGAAAGAATCCCGATGCGCATTTATCGGAGGAAATGAAGACGTTGACGCAACACTTTGTAGAAGACCAATTGGCGATGTGGCTTCAACAAATTGTCTACAAGTGGATAAAAAGGTATATTAAAAATCACATAACCTATGCAGCGCATACATCAATGTATTACTTTAAATATATGTGTCTTACCTCTCACTATGATCAGTAGGAATTGTGCATGATGCAATTACAGGCTCTACATCTTCCATATACACATTTAGCATGGGACCACTCACTACAAGCATCACTCTAAATCCAGATTCTCCCGTCATCCTCAAAAGTTCATTCTTGTTAGATTCGGTGGTATAATATATGACTTTACCATTCATGTTTGAAGATGAACGTTGTTGTAACTCATTTATAAATGATTCGTATGTTGTTGTTGTTGTTATCATAAAAGGGTCCGTGACACCGCCGATGTATATAATTTCCCCATTCTCATTTTTGTCAATTTTCCCATCAAATCGACAATAGCATATAATTTGTGTCTCATCCATTTGTCCAACTGCTTCGAAAATTGACTCATTAGTTTAAAAAAAAAAAAAAAAAAAAAAAAACTAAATATGAAGTTCAAAAAATAATGAAATATAAAACAATTAAATATCATAATTATATAATGTAATTTAGAGATCTATTTACAGCGAAACACTACTAATTCCCTCAATAGGGATAGGCGATGTCAAGATTAAACTTTTCCTAAACACACACTACAGACCTTTTTCAAATCAAAATACAACCACAAAATCAATGCCATTGATTACTAGATAATTGTATCACTATGTATACAACAAACATATATACAAGATGAGGGAGATTATGAGATGAATAGAGAGTTAAATGGGACAATATAGATTGAAAATAAAAAATTGAGAGTTAAATAGAGAGAGAGCAGAGTGTTGAATATTTTTCACACACATAATTTATATGTGTAAGTCTTGAAAATGGGGGAGACAAGTACAAGGGAATGTTGGAATAATAAATTAATACTAAATACATTTTTTTGATAAATTAATGCTAAATACATATATTAAAAAAGCCTCATTTATAGAGTTTGCTAGCTTTTGCATCAATTCTATCATGTGCGTAGATGCCTAAAGACATATTACACAGAGGTATACTCTACATGCCATTTGAGAAAGAGGCAACAATCTTGAATAATTCTTGATCTAAATTGAGTTATAATAATTAATTATACATAAAAACTAATTGGACTACCTATGTGTTGGTGGCTTTGAATTTTAACTCCTAAATTCCTAGGTTCTGCTGAGGATTTAGTCTGCAGTCATCAAAGAGCCTTGAATATATAGCTTGAATGAAAAAAGCTACCAAAACAAATAAAATCATTCTTCTTTGGCCCTCTGACTATGTGGGCATGGAAGATTCCCGTAAATAGTCTGGTTATCTTAAAATTGAACAAATTGTTAAGTTTCAAAATTCTTTCTAATAAGAACCATTTTTTATTTTTTGTATTACTTACTTTTTCCACTTCTATTACCACCCTTCCCCATCCAAGAGACTCAGCTTGAGTGGTATCTCATGTCGCTTCCAAATAAGGATTCAATTTCCATGTAAAAAATAATAGTAAAAAATTGATAAATTCTGACTCTTTTTGTAGGAGGATACAGATATAGCTGATTTTACATAGATATTATTTTCTAACGGAGTGAATTGATACTACTCATAGCTATCGAGCAATATTGTGGTGTGTATTGGTTGTAACTGACAATGTGAATTTAAAATTTCAAATGGATATAACCATGGTCAGTATTAATGGTTTTAACTAAATTTTGATATTTCCATTAAAATGGTATCTCTCTTTGATTTTGGATCATGTGTGTGGTTATTAAATTATGTGTTGATTTGTAAGGTTGCTTTCAGATTTGGACAAAAATAAAATGAAAGTCTTGATAGTTTGTTGATGTAATGAGCTTAAAAATTTAAAATTATATGCTTTGAATATATATCTATATCAGTCCATGGCAACTACTGCTTAATGATAAATAAGCCGTGAAACTACTTTGATCATATGGAGCTTATTAGTTGCATCATGATTACTACTAGTTTTGTGTATGTGTTCCATTATGTACTAGTTAATGTGTGGTATTTAGGCTTATGGCCAGTGTGTGTGTGTTAAAATCATGTATAAACATACATATATATGACAAAGTCGTGTTATGTTTAAATATTTCAGCCTAACTCTTGTAAAAATTAGAACAAATTCATGTTGGTTTGGATGACTCCTAAAGGTTTTTTTTTTTTGGAAGGTTAAACAAGTATTATTATACCATTTCTCTCATTCCTTCTCTTTCTCCTTCCAAATCGAGGTACGTTAGGGTTTTCTCTCCCCTAATGGCACACGTGTTCTATGGACCTGTATTAGAGTATAGTTCACACTATGATTCTTAAGATTGATGTGCTTATTGACGGTCCAGTGCTGTTTCAATCTCCTCCTAACAGCACTTAACATAATCATAAACTAGATTTAGCTCAGCCATTTTGTCTTGAAGTTTTTCCTCAATCTCATTGGGAAGCTATTCATGTAGTGGCTGAAATATGTTTGTTTTTTTATGATCCAAACACACTCAAACAAACACCAACAGTGACCAATAGCTAGCCGCAGAAGTTACAATAGGTGTAGCTAGCCTATGACAAGTGTGTTTGTGTTAAAATCTAGGTCATACAATTCTTTTTAACAGGTGTAAATCTAGCTCCCATTCTCACGATTTGTTTGTAATTTAATTTTGTTGCTTTTGCGCTCTATCTACCACTTTATGCGACTTAGTATAAAACCAAATATAAATATTAACTTACTGAATTTTTCTGTTACTATCAAATACCATTAAAGCAAAATTACAAAATTAGACCCTCCCTCACAAGAAACAAAATTCTAAGAATTTATTAATCGTTCTAATCAATTGCAATAGGCTGCCAACATAGTTAATTGAGAGTCGATAATTCAAAGAGCATTTCATTTTATTTTTGTCCAAAGCTGAAAGCAACCTTACAAATCAACACATAATTTCATAATCATACACCTGATCCAAAATCAAAGAGAGATACCATTTTAATGGAAATATAAAAAAATAAGATGTTTGGATACAATTGAGGACAAATAATAAAAGTACATGAAGCACCAGATTTAAAATTAGATTCCTCATAAGTACAAATAATTCTTTGAGACTACGCTTTCATGAGTATAAATAATTCTTTGGGAGCTCCGAGAATTAGTGGGGTAAAACCATGTATATCTCGATATTCATCAAAATATATAATGCAGCTAAAAGAGCATAGGCAGATTTAATAAAGCAATCCCTACAAAAATCTATAAACTCTACCATGTTTTAATGCTTATCTCTTAAAAGAGACTTTAGTAGTACTGCACTTGTCTGCTAGGAATTGAAAACTTTATATCACCCAGTAGCTGTTTTTAATTTTATTTTGATTTTGATTCTGATTCCTTCCCTCGTGCAAAGAGAAGTAGTATCCGTATTCACCTTCACATAAAGGTGGTGTCTTTGGTTTGATTGTAGTGCCAGAGTTTTGGACCAAAAAAAACAGATCCACCTCAAAGAGAGAGAGAGAGAGAGCTCTCTCATGTGGCCTTTTCAAAACAGAGCAAAATACAAAGAAATATTGTCAGTGTTCCCTTAACCTCTTCACTCCTCATTTATGAAACCTGTCTTTCTTTATTTATTTGACATCAAAGCTCTGTCAAGTGAAATTCTCAACTCAACTCACAATATTTTATATATATATATATATATATATATATATATATATATATATATATATATATATAATTATATATCTTTGTTTTTGGAGTAAGTGTTGTGATTCTGTACACAATAGGAGATTATTTATTAATCTACCAGGTTTTTTTCCTCTTGTTATCTTCTTCATTGTCTTTTCTCTCATTGTTTTCTTCTCCATGTCTTCTTGTTACAGACATCTTTCTTGTTATACCTAAACTGTATTGTCTGTTATACCCGTCAATATATACCTGTAACATAGATTTTGGTGTTCATTTATATTAGTTGACTAAAAAACTGATTGAAAATTTGAGATTATTGAATTCTTCTTCTCCAATTATATACTGTTTTTTCATGTCCTTTTGGTAGTAGACAAAGAGGCAGGCTAAAACCAACGTAATTAGAATGGATTTTAAAATGTTAGATGTAAAAATTATAATTCATGTGCAGGGGAGGAACTACCTTATAATTTTTTCAATGAGGCCTTATAATTAGCCCAAATTTGTGCAACATTTTGTTACGCACATTTCAAACATATACAACAAACAGAGCAACAACAATCTTGATTGCAGAATAGAAATTATATATATATATGATTGCATAATAGAAATTATAAGAGGAGAATACATATAAACATAACCTAGATGAAAATCAGACATCCAATTGGAAAAAAAAAAAAAAAAAAATTATACCACTAAATCAGGGCCATAATCATCTAAAAAATAAACGTGTGTGTGTATGAGACAGAGAGAGAGTACTTACTTCAGTTTAAGAACAACAATAAATGAATGGCAGAAGTGGAGAAATGCTTCGCTGGGTTATAGAGAGGGGCAGAGACAGAGGGCGCACCAATGACGGTTAGACGTGGAGAAGTGCTTCGCTGTTACAGAGGGGGAAAGAGAGAGGGCTTGAATGAGGGTTAGGGCTCAACCAAGGATGCTTTAATCCTGTTACACAGAGGAGGGGGGGGGGGGGGGAGAAAGAAAGAGAGGGGGCTCTTGAGGGCTCTTCGCGAATGAGATGACGGAGGGTTAGGGCTCCATGTTCGGTGATGGTGTGTGCCGAGATGGGTTGCCTGGTCTTGCTTCGTTGGTTAGAGAGAGAGGGGGCGCTGATGTGAGATGGATATGTGATGCACGACTGTGTGTGTATTTTAGGGCAACAATTTGGGTGACAAAATTAAATATGGGCAATAAGGTAAATGTGCTGAAATAGTGATAAGGGCATTTTTGGCAAAACATTTCTTGAACAGTAATAATCCATGTGCCACGTCAGCAATCCATTTTAGGGAAATGTGGAACTTTGACTCCGCCTCTGAGTAAATACGGAACCCTAACCCCATTTATACGTAATTATCCCAATAATTAATTAGGGTGAAATTAGGGGGGAGGTGAAAGGGCAAATTTGCCCTTGAATGACTTTTCATACTCCAGCATCTTCTTAAATCGACACATGTCACCTCATCGACATGGGTTGGGCTTATGTTGGTCGAATTGATCCATGTTGAAATCCACAAGCTCACCAGTCAAGTCGGATACAGCCCCACCAATGTAGAAAAGAGACCCAAGCATGATACAATTGGGTAAAGACAAATGATGTATAGACAGGGTAAGGAAGAAAAGAAGAGGCAGAATGTTTGGTGGAAGGGAAAAACTTTTCATCAATAGAAAGAGAATTTTCTTTCATTTACAAGACCATTTTATGTAACCATATTGTTGAAAGAAATGAAAATTGTGAAACCAAATTCA